GCGGAAAATTGGAAAAAGCATCAGACTTTAGCGGAACAGCAGTTTCAAGTGACCTATACAGGAAATAAATGTGTTATTTTGAAACTATATATTCAACTTACATTACATTGTTTATGTTATTGTGTGATTTCCACCAAAATTAGGACCTCTGCATTTAAAAGTATTTAGCTGATAATTACAGAACAGTCCATATTAGGTCATTAGTAATTTAAGTAGTGACCTGTAATGGCACATTTCATATCAGCTGAAGTGGTAAAAAATGGTTAGCATATCTTTATATTTAATGCAATATGTTTTTCTTATTTATGGCGTACAAGGTTATATTAGTCAATCTTCTAGGCCAGATCAAGAGGGATTGGTCTTATATAGATATGTAACTTTAGGAGCCCCAAAAACTGTTTTTCTATCTTTCTAAAGAATTAATTATTTTTTAAAATACTATTTAAACAGCTCATTTTTTAACTTGTCCTAAAATATAAACATTTATATTTAAAAAAATATTTGTCATCAATCATTAGAAGTCGTTGTTTAATAGCAGTAGTATTGGTGATGGAATATTTTATTTTTATGTTCAGAAACGAAAGATTTGAATTTAATTTCCATTAATTCAAATTTGATACTCTGTTAATCACTTACTTAAAGATTTTTCATCAAAATTTGTGAAAGTTAGGGAATCAAAACTTTAAATTATTTCTTCATTGTGTAAATAACCAACACATTTTTAAATAAGTGCCAAAACTTTTAGGTTAATTTGCAAAGTTTTAACTTGTGTTACACAAATTCAATATACATAAAATTACAAAAGTTCTTTTATTAATTTCTTGAAATTTTTTTAATAAAAAAGTAACTATTTAATTTATGATAAAATGAAGATCTCAGCTTGATTTCCATAGTAAAATAAATCAGATTATGCAATTAAATTTAGGATAAAAATAATACTTTACAATGATGCTTTTTTTATCATATGACATTATAATGTAAGATGACTTTTGGAACCATTAAAGCAACTTTAATAAAGAAACGTTATTATTAAAAATATATTTTATATACACTTTTATATATGTTTTGATATTTATGTCTATGACATTTAATTTTTTTACAACAATTTAATTAAATATGTCTATGGTATTTGATTTTTTATTATAAACTATATTTTTTTTAGCTAATCCCTGTGCTGGAAAAACTGATGGAAAATACTTGATTCCTGATGTATTTGCTTATCTATCATGCTCTTTGCAACAGGCAACTTTTTTAAACTGTTCTGATAATCAAATATTTGATCCAAACTATAGTAATTGCATGGATGCTGGAAACTATAGTTTAAATAATTTTTGTGTGGGAAAAACTGATGATCAATATCGTAATCCTTGGAACTGCAATAGTTTTATTTCTTGTGCTAATGGTGCAGCATACAATATGTCTTGTGCATTACCAAATTTAGTTTACGATCCTTATAATAAACTTTGTAAAGATTCAGGAACATATCCTTGCAGTGTACTACGTGAGTATAATGTGATAAATTTTTTTGTATTTTAAACACAATTTAAAACTTGTGAGGCATACATTTAAATACTTCTAAATTTATAAGATCTATTGATTCATCTATTGCAAATCTATTAGTAATAATATTGAGAAGAACGTAAATAAAAGGGAAATGTAAAACTGACATAAAAACAAATTTTAACATTTAAAATGTTCAATAAATATTAAAAAAGCTTTAATTTATCCAGTATTTTGGGGATTATGAGTTTTAAAGTAAATAAACAAAATTATTAAAATGTTATTTATTAAAATAAAAAGCAGCAGCAACAAAAAATATATAAATAACTTAAAAAATTATTACAAAAATAAAAATAAAGAAGAAATTAATAAATAAAGCCTGCATAAAGAACTCAATAAAACCTAGGCAATTTGGTTTTTTTTAGACATTTTATTGTTTTAGGAACATGTTTTGTTATTGTGTTTTTCACTTGTGGTAAATCTCCTTTCTTAAAAAACCATCTCTTAAAAGTTTAGTTTCTTCAGTCTCTTTTGACACAGAATTTCACAAAGAAACAAGATGATTCATTGCTTAAAGTATAGAAATTTTTGGCAGGGGTTCATTATTATCAACAGCCTTGATATACAAAAGCACAGTTTTGTGACAATAGTGAGTTTTAAGACTTTAAAGAAGAAATATAATGTTGATGTTGCTTAGCCCTCCAATGTGTGGATGGGCAAAACAGTTATCCACCAGGAGTGCTACTTTTCTCCTGTCCTGAGCACGAAAAAATGAGTCAAGCTTCTTTACCCATTCTGTGAAAAGGTCTCCGGTCTTACAACCTTTTGATTCATTCCATATCAACTCAACCAGCATTTTGACAATTGTTCACCACACAATCTCAGATCTTCCTGAAATTTTCAGGACTTGTAGTACATACAAAGTTAAGCAATTGCTGAAATATTTAGGCCATTTTGTCAAAAACTCTCTGAGATATGATTTTTTAAAGTTTTAAGGGTTGTCGCGAGTTCACGTGACTTTTACATTTTTGCAATATTTGAACGTGAATATTTCAAAAACTAAAACAGGTATCAGGCTGAAATTTTCAGCATTTACTCATTTTTTCATGCTGAGTTGAATGGTGTTTTTATATCAAATGTAGCTTGCATACAATATCCCCTAAAAATGTCCAAACATTGCACTTTAGACAGTTTTCACTAATATTCGACCCGATATAGCTAAGAACCTATAGAACTCCATAAGCTTGCTTCATATGGTGTTTCTGGGAAAGTTTTTGAGATTATCAAATCATTTCTTTCTAACCGGTTTATTAAAGTCATCCTTGAAGGCCAACATTCTTCTTTATTTCCAGTAACTTCTGGGGTTCCCCAAGGTTCCATCCTGGGCCCTGTTTTGTTTCTTATCTACATAAACAATCTTCCTGACAACCTTTCATCTAAAGTAGCTCTTTTTGCTGATGACTCAAATTTATACTCCTGTCTTGACAAAAAGTCTTCTCTTTTCGATCGCCTAAAACAAGCAGCTGATCTTGAATCCGAAATTACTTCAGTTATAGATTGGGGTTCACAGTGGCTTGTGAATTTCAACTCTAACAAAACCCAGTTGTTTACTGCAAACAACTACCGTAATATGGTCAACATTCCTATACTAATGAATGGCAATCCTCTTACTGAGTCGTCCTCTCTACGTCTTCTTGGATTATCGCTTACTACTGACCTTTCATGGAAACCATATATACAATCGATTGCTAAATTAGCTTCTGCTAAGGTTGCTTCTCTTTATCGTGGTCGCCATTTCCTTACTTCTGATTCCATTCTCTACCTCTAAAAATCTCTTATTCGTTCCTGTATGGAATACTGTTGTCATATTTGGGCTGGTTCTTCTAACGATTCACTTTCTTTTCTTGACAAGGTCCAAAAACGCATTGTAAATGTTGTTGGACCTGGACTATCTGCTAAGCTTGAACCTCTTTCCCATTGTCATAAAGTTACATCTCTTTCTCTTTTCTACAAATCATGGCCACTGCTCAAAGGAGTTATCATCTCTAGTTCCATCAACTAAAATTCATTCTCGTTTTACTCGTCATTCAACTAAGTCTCATTCGTTTACTTTATCTGTCCCTGCATATTCTAAAAACTTTTATTCATCTGGGTTTTTTCCCTGCACTTTAATCCTTTGGAACTCTCTCCCATCTTCATGTTTTCCTGATTCATACAACCTACAACTTTTCAAGTCTTCTGTCAACCGTTTCTTTGCTCTATAACTCTGTTCTTTTTTTTTCCTAGTAACTCCCAAATAATACTGGTTGCTTGCAGCCTTGTTGGGAGTGAATGCAAATTAAAAAAAAAAAAAAAAAACATGGAATGATGTTTGTCATACCATTAATAAGTACCATATATGTGTTTACTATTTTAATAAATTATGTTAATCATTAATAGTGTACTCTTTGTAGGCAATGTTATGCATCACGGTCATCAATTTTTGTGTGCATTGCGACCCCCAGATGACCATGTTGACAGTAATTCACACATTTCATATTTTGCACTCTTATTAACCTCAGTAAGTACTAGCTATGGTAAAAATTTCATGTTGGTGTCTTAAGCCTCTCCTACTAAATCAATAGCTAATTAAAACCATATTTCATTAAGTTTTTTTGAAAAATATTTTTTGTACATTAAAGTGTATTGTGGTAAATCATCAAAGCAATGAATTGTCAATTAAATTTTATGAAAAAATAGTTAGTTTAAGTTACAAAATCAAATTATAGACTGTTTTTATCAACAATACAAGCAACTATGTAAAGCGATAACAGCGTATGGTGCCAATGCATTTAACTGTTGGTATCTTATCTATTTATACTCAGTTCGACTATCAAACAGTTTCTTGCAATTGTCAAAATGCTCATTATCATAGAAATACTGTCTTGCTGAACTGCCAGACAACATTGGTGGTGGAAGATTGCACAGCACATTAGTGAATGGTATCCAGCAGATATCTTCACGATGTGGCCAAGTTAATCTGTTTGTAGGTGTTCTGTTCATGAACTTTACCAAGATATCTTGATGTTCATCAGAATGTTCTGTTATGCAACCAATAAACCAATCAATATCATAAACAACAGCCAAAAACTGTCCTGGATGCAAATCTGTTTTTATATTGTGCTGCTGCTCCATCACTGAAGTAAACTATTTTCTGCAAATCAGGCATTTTGCTCCTGAGAAATGTCAGCACTATTTCAATGAAGGCATGGACTGTACCTGCTACATGTTCATGGTCATCACTTATAATGCACAACAAATGGATGCAATGCGGCCTCTGATGTTTCCCAGTGAAAGCCTTGCACTGACAGATAAATGAATAATTTTCCTGACAGATAAATGAATAATTTTCTGCAAAATCCAGCTACACAACTACTGTTCCAACTGGCAAACACTCCTTCAGATGACATAATTAGGATGACTGTGCCTTGGCCGTGAAATGATGATCTGTTGTTTTATCAGCGGAAGTACAAAGTGAAGTAATGAAGTCAGCAACAGTCTCTTATACAAGTTGCAGCTTTGACTGACCATCATGGGTCCATCGTTTGTGATTGATTATGTCATCTAAATTCATATCAGCTTCATCAAATAGCTGTTCAAGAGATGATTTTAGTTCATCAATACCAGGACAAATAGAACAACAATGCAACATGCATTCTTGATTCTCAGTTGAACAAACAACCTTCAGAAGCAAGTTCTTATAATCACATCTAACAGGCAGTGCTGCAACTACAAGTTTCAAATTTTGGTGAGTCTCACATACACAGATTGCATGGGCACCACTCGAGTCAACAGTAATGCACCATGGTGGTCGCAGTGAACAAAACTTGCTAAGCCCAATTTTCATTGCAGTTCGTTTTTTGATATCTACATGTATCTCCTTGAGATTCAGAAGTAGAAGACATTTTTGTTTATGAACATGTTCACCATCAATTCTGATTGACAAGAATTTCTTTTGACCTGGACACATGTGGGAAATTTTATCATCTTCAAAAATTTACGTACACTTTCAATCACATCATCTGGGAGAACTTTGCCAAGTTTTTTCTGTTGGTATGCCAAAATTTCACATGACTTCTTTAGTTTTCTCGCTTGCTTAACGACGTGCCTGGTTACTCCAAATTCCTGTGAGACTTTTTGTTGGCTCCAGCTAGATGGTGCTAGTGTTACCATCTTAATTTTTTCTTGCCTGGAAGCTGTACTGCACTTAATCTTTAATTCAATCACTAGTTTTGTTAAGTCATTGCAACCATCACATTCTGTAGCATCACCTTCATTCACAACTAGATTAAGAGGTACTTGGATGACTTTGCTTACTTTCTTCTGGATCTCTGTTGTTGCAGTTACAATTTTACGTTTGGCATATGAAATTCTACTTCGAGCAGGCATTGCATGAAGCTTAACTACTGTACAGCCAATGCTTGTTATACTGTCATTTAGTTGAGAAAGATACATATCAACATCATCTATATCGGTATCACTAGCTGAATGTCCATGAGTTATGGACATTCAGTTTATGTTTAGGTTCCTGGGATGTATCATACTTTTGACAGCTTGGGCATAGCTTCTCACCAGGTTTGATGTGTCTCCCAGTTGTTAGTGTTAGCTCCTTGGTTTTGTCAATACTGACAGCCCTAAGTGACTTTGTGACTTTGCATTGATGTTTATTGAATGGATCACAACAACTCCGCTGCAATTTATCAAATTTTTCAAGTAGAACCTGTTTGTGGTGGAAGCATATATTGCAGTTCTCTCTTTGTAATTGATTAATTGGCTTGGTTCTTAACATCAACAGTTCAAAGTTAGCATTGGATAATTCTGACAGGTTATGCAAGCCGACACTGCGTGTATGAACTGTCTTGTGGCATTCATCTTGAAGCAACAGTCCAAATGTGCACAATGGCAGTTCAGCCATATTCAGTAAATATTGAATCTATATCAAATATAAAAAAATGTGATAACATATTTTTATAAAAACATTCCATACTAATTCAACCAAAAAAAAAACAAATTTACATGCTACTTTCTCATAATTCAATAAAACTTTTAGTATATGTCTATAAATATTTTCTATTAAAAAAATGAAATACCTAAAAAAAAATTATATATTAATAATATGACATACCTAAATAAAATATTAAACAAAAAATTCATTTGAAAGTATTCAATTTCTTATAGATTTTTCACCAAGAAGGAGGCAAGACACCAACATGAGATTTTTACCATAGCTAGTACTTACTGAGGTTAATAAGTGTGCAAAAAATGAAAAGTGTGAATTACTGTCAACATGGTCATCTGGGGGTCGCAATAAGCATAAAAATTGATGACCGTGATGCATAACAGTGCCTACAATGAGTACACTATTATTGATTAACATAATTTTTTTATTAAAATAATAAGCACATACATGGTACTTATTAATGGTATGACAAACATCATTCCATGTTTTATAGGTTCTTGGCTATATCGGGTCGAATATTGGTAAAAACTGTCTAAAGTTCAATGTTTGGACATTTTTAGGGGATATTGTATGCAAGCTACATTTGCTATAAAAACACCATTCAACTCAGCATGAAAAAATGAGTAAATGCTGAAAGTTTCAGCCTGATACTTGTTTTAGTTTTTGAAATATTCATGTTCAAATATCGCAAAAATGTAAAAGTTATGTGAACTTGCGACAACCCTTAAAACTTTAAAAAATCATATTTCAGAAAGTTTTTAATAAAATGGCCTAAAAATTTCAGCAATTGCTTAACTTTGTATGTACTACAAGCTCTAAAAATTTCAGGAAGATCTGAGATGGTATGGTGAACATCACTGGTTGAGTTGACATAGAATGACCCAGCTGATATTTATATGTGCAAGGAAGTTGTTTAATGTGCTTAAAACATCGTGGGACTTTTCAAGTAATAAGTAATTTTTCTCCCGTTGCAGTCCTAGCTTCCATCCCTGTTAGTTGGACTTTACTTTTTTTTCCCCAAAAACATTTTTCTTGTGATAAATGGTACGTTTCATTTGGTAGGCACTGGTAAAATAGTCCAAACTTATTAGTAATAAAAATGTTTTTAAGTTTGTAATTCAAAAGCAATGTTTGAAGTGTAATTTCATTCCATGAAGCAGTCATATCGTTCATAACGGCAGCACTTTGGCTTGAGATTATTTTAGTATGATGCCATCAATTGGCACTCATTGACTTCTTTATGCAATGAACTATGAAAATATGGCCGGTAAATCTGCAGTTAAGCTACTTTAAATAGTTTTATTTTTTTGTTTGTTGCGCACTTTTCAGAGGAAGCTTTTTAAACATTAGGAATATTAATTGAAATAATAAAAGAGAAAGATTGCTGCCCCATCCAAAACCCTCAGCCGATGTTGCAGCACTTCCTTATAGCAGCAGGTTATAAGATAGACAATGTAGCAACACTCCCTTGTAACAAAAAGTCATCACAAGTCTCCACATGAGAGTGCAACAAGCAAAAAAAAAAAAATTATTTTAGGCAGCTTAACTGCAGATTTATCATATGGCTTTGTCTACATTTTCAAAATTACCACTAAAAAGTTTCTTCCGTTTAGCTTTTGTGCCATTTTTTTCCAGCGAGGTTAATAATTTATTTTTATTTTTAAACCACATTGATATTGTGTTTGATTTGTAGATTTTGATATTGATTTGTGGGACGCCATACTTTTGGGCAACCTCTTTGTTAGACATCCCATTCTTCAGGTTTTTTAATGTCTTGCATTTTTCATATATAGATTTGTTTGTAAGTGTTTATTTAACGAACAACATGTTATCGCGTTTGACAAAAACAATAAATTAAACTTCAAAAGAAATACTTTTTAGAAATTCAATTCATAAAAAAAATTGAATTTTAGAAAATTTCATAGCAATACTTTTCAAAAATTGGAACTTTAAAAAATTAAATGTTTTTAAAACATCTCTTAAAAAAATTTGTTGAAAAATTCGAGATAACCAGAGAAAATTGCCTCGTGGACCACAAATATTGTTCAAGATATCAAAAAGTTCAAGATATTAAGGTTTGAGATATTGAGAGGATTTTAGCCTAAACAAGTACGTTATATCCATGAGCTCATAAAGTAAAATAAATAAAATATTATATAAATAAAAGTTGATTAGACTTTCTTTGAATGATTTTAACATTAAAATGTTTTTACAATTTTATATTATTTATGTTTTTTTTTAGCTGTCTTAGGAACATGGTCAGCATATGGCGATTGTTCTGTATTATGTAAGCAAACAAGAGTTCGAACATGTTCTGGTAATTGTCAAAATGCTATAACTTCTCAATCACAAAACTGTCTAGGAGGTTTTTGCCCTGTTGGTAGGCAACAATTTTGTTTTTATTTTTTTATGTTTAATGTGATTTTTTTAAAAAGAATCCTCTTGTGCCATCTTTTAAAATTTATTCTCGTGTTACTCGTCATTCAATTAAGTCTCATCCTTTTTCTGTGACTGTTCCAAGTGCTCCAAAAACTTTTGTTTGTCTATTTTTTTTCCTCGAACATTAGTTTATTGGAATTTGCTTCCTTCTTCTTGCTTTCCTGATTCATATAGTTTGCAATATTTCAAGTTGTCTTTCAATTGATATCTTGCTCTATAAACTCCATTTTTTCTCTTCCAGTAACTTCAAACTCTAATAGTGGTTGCTTGCAGCCTTGCTGAAAGCAAAAATGTTGAAAAAAAAAAAAAAAGTTATTTTAGGAATATTAGGCTAGTATTCATATCTACTTTGTGAACTCAGCAGTTTTAAAAGAAAAAAAACTTTTTGTGCTTTGTCCACTTTAGGCAATGATTTTTAGGCAATCATTATGTTGCAATAGTTAAAACATGTCAAAATGGGTCTAAATTAACAATATACCTTTATATACCAAAGATGTCATAAATATTAAAAACAACAATAATACTTTACACAAACACGAGTATATATTTAGCTTAAAAAACTCTCTATTACACAATTACAGTAATGTTAGAGTGCTACCTGTCTGTATTTATTATTTTTAAGATTTTATATTATATAGAAAGATAAGGACTGTTAACAAAAAACATATTTAAAAGAGTTTTTTACATCAAATATATATTTGTGTTTGTGTGAAGAAGGTATTATTGTCTTTTTTTATTACTATTGTTAAAATTTATTAGTTTTGCTTAGTGTGAAGAATAACAGGTGGTTGAAACTTGTTTGCTAATTAGGTAACTACTTAGGATATTTACCTAGTTGCCAAATATCAAATGAAAATTTTTTTTTTAGCTATTATTTAAACCAATTCAATTTTCCAAATTTGAATTATGATTTTTTTTTGATTCATAAAAAAAATCAAACTTTAAAAATTTCCTAGAAATACTTTTCGAAAATTAGAACTAAAAAAAAATTTTTTTTTTTAAATATTCTTGTGTTATTTTGAACTTTTAAACAAATTTTTTCAAGAAATGCTTTTAAAACATTTCTTGAAAAAATTTGTTTAAAAGTTTCAATGTTTTTAAAACATTTCTTGAAAAAATTTGTTTAAAAGTTCAAGATAACAAAAGAAAATTGCCCCGTGGACCACAAATATTGTTTGAGATACCAAAAAGTTATTAAGATATTAAGATATTAAGGTTCAAGATATCGAAAGGATTTTAGCCTAAGTGAGTAGATTATGTCCATGGGGCTGCAAAAAGTGTTCGAAATATCTATTTGAGATATCTCTAAGACTTTTTTGAGTTCGAGATATCTATTCGATATCTTGAATAGATATCTTGAACTCAAAAGTTTGAGATATCGAGAGTTGACTGTATAAATTGTTTTTTACCTGAATAAAAATAAACAAAAAAAATGAATGAACAAAACCCGAAGTGTTTTAGACTACATTAAAAAAATTGTTGGTAGCCTTTATTTATGAAATGCCATGTACTAGATATAATAATTGCTGTATGATCTAAACTATGCATTTATTCAATTGTTCCAGTGTTGTTAAAAAACTGAAGCAGTGATTGTATGAATTAAACATGAATTTTTATCAAGTAAACTGTTGTTTATTGTTGCAAAAAGGTTAAGAAGTTAAAAATTTCTTGCATTTTTATGATGTATGTAAGAATCATTCTTTAAAGATTAATGTACTTTTGACTTGAATGCAATATAAAAAAAAATTTAATTTAAAAAGTGCTTGTATGGTGACTACAAAATATATTTTAAAAAATATAGTCAAAAAAAAACAAAAGTAATTTATTGTTTCAAATTTTTCTAACTTTAAATTAAGTTTTTTTAGTTTATAAAAAAATGTTATTAACTAAAAGTCTTTTTTTAAATTTAAAAAATGTAAAGAAATTTTTTTTATAAGTGTATTTTTTTAATGTGTATATTTGGAAGCTTATAAAAAGATTCATTTTATTAATGCCAAACTAATAAAATTAAATCTAAGCAAAGTTTAGTAAGCAAAGGAAAATATAATTTTTTTAAGGAATAATTCAGAATATAATATAAGAGATTATTATCTCTTATATTATATTCTAAATTATTAAAAAAAAAAAATACATTTTCCTTAAAAATAAAAATAAAAAAGTATAAAAATAGTATAAAAAATTCAAACAACAAAAAAAAATCCTAGTTAAATTATCAGTTTATTTACTTTTAATTAAACCTTTAAACTATCCTAGTTAAATTAAACCTTTAAACTATCCTAGTTAAAAGGTTTAATTAAAAGTATATAATAAACTGTTCTGAGGAATGATTTTTCTTAAAGAATTAACTGTTGCAAATTTGTTTTCATTCAATTATTTAACTTTATATATTTTATATTTCTTTTATCTTTATTACTTGTATTTCTAATAAAACAGTTCGTAAGTTTGAAAATAAGTTTTAAATTATTTTTATTTTTTGTTGAAGGAAAACAATAAATATAAAATTTGATATACGTTATTTTTTGTTAACTATTTTTTGCTTTCATAGCAGCAAAATTTGTGTTTATAATTATTATTTATACTATCATTGTCCTGCTTAATTTTGTGTTTTAACTTGTTGTTATTAATAAAAGTTAACATATTTTTTGAAGCTATTATGCTATTGGAACATAAGTACAAATAAACCCCCAAAGTTTAGACACCCCATGCCCATTTATAGTAGTGGGGTTTTTAATTAAATTTTTTGTTTTGTCTTAAATTAAATTAAAATTAATCAATAAATTTCAAATTTTATCAAAAAAATTTAAAATTACTAATCCCTGGTCTTTTGGAAGTCATTATCAAAAATAATGGGTATTCTGGTCCACGTTGTGATGTGGCTTAAAAAATAATCATTTAAAAAAAACTTTTTTATCAAATCAGAAATAATTTTTGTTTGATATCGTTGCTTTATACTTTTCAGGCTAATGTTTTATAGGAACAACTTTCTGATGTTATTACAAAGTACATTTTTTTTGAAATTATTAAAAGAAAGATTTTTCTTATTAAAAGTTCATTAAAAGCAAATTTTGTTTGAGCAAAATTTGTTCTCAAAAAATTCAGTTTATGTTTCTGCACAATTTAATTCAATTCATTCACCATTTTTAAAGATAAGAATGTGCTTTCTAATGAAATTGTTTTTTAAAAAGTTTAAAATTCTAAGCTTTTTTTTTAAAAAAAATTATTGCAAAAAAAAAAAAAAAAAGTTATTGCAAATAAATCGTTGATTATATTGCTTAAACTTGGTAAATTTGGTTGCAAAAAAAAATATAATAATAATAAAGAGCATTTCTAAGTTTTATTTTGCTAAAAAAATTTTTGTTTTGTTTTAATGTTTTTCATCAAAATCATCAAAATTGCTAGTTGCATTGTCAAATTGCCACTTTTTTTTCCTGCTACTTGATTTCATTTAAAATAAAAAAAAGTATATACTTTATATAGCTACCATTTTTAAAGCAAAAATTCAGTGATTTTCATTAAAAAAATTTTGTTTTCCTAATTTTACAATTTTTTTTTACCTTAGCATTATATGGTGTATGGTCTGCATTTAGTGAATGCTCAACTGCATGCCAGAAAACAAGAACAAGAAACTGTACCGGTAATTGTGTGAATGCTGTGATTTTAGATATACAAAACTGTACTGATGGTCAATGTCCTTCAGGTTAGAATCTTTAGATTTATTTTATTTATAATGTAATTAGCAACTCAGTTCTAGACCTGTATTAAAAAACTAATGAAACTATTTTGTGTATATGTATCCAGTAAAATCCAGTGGGTATGTAGTAGTAAGTTCTTAAGTGATAAAAACTTGCTCTGAAAGTTTTTCAGTATCACTATCAATTATTTATCAGCAAAGTTTAACAAACAATGATCTTCATGAACTTTGCAAAATGTTCTGTATTTAAAAATTGCAGTAAACCGCAAACAAAAAGTATTTTTGATAGCTGTGTCTCACAAAGTATTAGCAAAAGAATGATAATCTAGCTGAATTGTCTGTCAAATGAATGATAAATTTTAATATCAAAAAATGAGAATTATAATTATATATGAATGATTCAAAACTCAACTAATCAAATATAGAAAATGACATTAGCATAGAGATATCAAATACTGTGACATTATTGTAAATAGAGCAACTAGATGAAATTAATTAATCAAATAATTTACTTATAAGAAAAAAACACACGAAAAATGTTCTTTACTGCATTTTTCTAAGACCTATTCTTGAATATGCAACAACGATATTTAATTATTGTAATAAAAAAAATATACAAAAATTTGAAAGTGTTTAACAATGAGCAACTAAATTGATTCTAGTGTTTAGGCATCTAAACTCTGACTTCAACTCGAAAGCAAAATTTTTGAAAATTTTTGAAAATTTTTTTGAATTCTTTTAAAAATATTACGTGATAATTTAAAATAATTTTTTTTGCTAAATTTATAAAAGTTCTTTGAAGGTATATATATATCTATATATATATATATATTTATATAGACATTTAAGATTTTAAATTAAATGCTAAAAATATACTTCCACTCAACAAAAATTTCAACTGTTTCAATATATCTTTTGAAACAGTTGAAATATATCTTTTGAAACAAATATTCAATATATCTTTTGAAACAAATATTCATGGTCTTCCAAGTAACCTTCCATCAGTTAAATCTTACCTCTTGCAAAATTCACCAGATTTGCTGGCTCTTTGTGAGACTAATTTAAATTCAGCTGTTCCTTCTTCAGATCTCAGTGTTAATCATTACTATCCGTTTATTTGCAGACTCCAAGAGTCATATGCTTGGCTTGGTGATATACTTGCGCATCAATTCACCTATTTGTTAAAATATTTGTTTGAATCCTTTGACCATTCTTTTTTGTGCAATCGTTTAGCATCTCTTCACTCAATCACATTTCTCTTTTTAATTTGTTCTTTATCGTTTTTTTTTTCTTGAGGCATTTGTGCTTGAAAAGGATCTCACTTCTGCTACAGCATGGGTCTCTCAGTGGCTGGTGAATTTTAATTCAGATAAGACTCAATTTTTTTAGCTAATCATTATCGCAATAATTTAGATCTTTCTATATATATAAATGGCATTGTACTTAATAAGTTATCTACCCTTTGACTTCTTGGATTAACTCTTACTTCTAATCTTATTTGGAAAACATAAATCAAATAAATTTCAAAATTAGCATCTGCTAAGGTTGCATCTCTTTATAGCGCTTGTAATTTTTTTGTCATCTGGATTCTATTTTTTGTTATCTGGATTCTTTTTTTTATCTCTATCTAAATTTGTATCTAAATCTCAAATCTGTCCTTGTATAGAATACTGTTGCCATATCTGGAGCTGACCTTTGAAAGATCCTTTTTCTCTTTTAGACAAGGTTTAAAAAGGCGCTGTAAACATAGTTGGACCTACTTTTGCAGCCAACCTTCAACCAGTGATATTTAAGTTAACATTAAGTAAAATTAGAAGTGAAAATAATTGATTTCGTTAATGTGAATAAAAACTGAAATAAGGAATTATTTGAAGAATAAAAACTGAAATAGAATTAAGTATCAACATCAGAAAAACGAAAATAGAAGTTAAGTTATTTATTATTACTGAACGATAATTATTGAATTCAAAAGTAAAATTTAACAAAAAAAATTTTTATGTTGACATAAGAGCTTGACGCTTACATTGACGTAAAAGTCAAGCTCTTACGTCAACGATACATTTAATCTTTTGTTACAAAAATAAATAAATATTTAAAGACTCTAAAAAGTTGATGAAATGAATGAGTTAATGAAATCATCATTAGAGGTGAGAGTTTATATGAAACCATTTATTAAAATAATCTCTCATCCATGGTACTATTCTTTTTACCTCTTCCAAAGATAAGGCTAATTATGATAACTAATTGCAAAAAAGTTTTTCTATTAACTCGGCTCTTGAATTTTATACTGTAAATATTTCTATATTGATGAATGGCTACTCTCTAACTGAGTCCTCATTTTTATGTCCTCTTAGATTATTGTTTACTACTGACCTCTCATGGAAACCGTTGAAACCATAGAAATAATTGATTGCATAGATAGCATCTGCTTAGGTTGCTTTTCTTTATTGTGCTTGCCATTTTCTTTCTCCTGATTTGATTCTGTACCTCTACAAATCTTTTATTAGCTTCTGTATCAAATACTGTTGCCTTATTTGGGCTGGTTCTTCTAATGATTCTCTTTCTCTTTTAGATTAGGTCCAAAAACACTTTGTATACATAGTGGAACTTGCCGAGCTTGAACCTCTCTCCCATTGTCATAAAGTTCTCTTTCTTTTTTCTATAAACTTTGGTTATCATCTCTAGTTCCATCAACCTCAGAAGCTCATTCTCGCTTGACTCTTCATTCAATCAAGTCTTATCCTTTTACTGTATCTGTCCCTGCATGCTCTAAAAAACTTTTGTCTAGTTTTTTTCCCCACACTTCAATCCTTTAGAAATCTCTCCCATCTTCATGTTTTGCTGACTCATACAACCTACATCATTTCAAATCTTTTGTCAACTGTTTCCTTGCTGTTTAACTATATTCTTTGTTTTCTAGTAACTCCCAACTTAATAGTAGTTACTTGTGGCCTTGTTTAGAGTGAATCAGAATAAAAATAAAAAAAGAATGAAGACTAAAGAATAAAGAAAATATATATATGAAAATATATGAAAGTTTTTTTATAAACTAAAAATCATTTATATAAAAGTTTATTTTGTAAATTATAAATCATACATATGAATTTTTTTTTTTTACATAAAGGTATTTATAGTGTTTGGAGTGATTGGAGCAGCTGTTCGGCAACATGTTCGCCTACTTCTCAAGATGTTCCATTTCAAACTCGCAATAGGATTTGCCAAGGTGAAACTCTAGGTCGAAGTTGTTTTGGCTCAAGTTATGAATCTAGGATGTGTAATTATGACATACCTTGTCCAGGTAATGAATTTTTTTTTAATAATAATTGAATTGGTGAATGTTAAAAGGAGGTCCAATAATGTAAACTTTTGGGAAGCAAAAAAAATGCATTTTAGGTAATGGTTCAATAATTTTCTTTTTGAAGGTGAAAAACATCTTTTTTAAAAAAAAGATTATTAAACCATTAATAAAAATTTACTACGTGGGAAAATGTTTTTATTTTCCTGAAAGTTTACATAGTTGGACTTCCGCACTTTTAACATTCCTTGATTTAATTATTTACATCTAAAAAGACATAAAACACAAATTGCTTTTAATTTTTTAATTTAATCTAGAATTGACACAGTTAAGGTTGTGTGCTAAAGAGGTTTCAGATTAGATTACTTCAAGGCTGATTTTCTTTTAGTTGTAAAAGAAAAAAGTAGTTGTTTTGAGTATTTAAAAATAAAACGGTAAAAAAACTAGAAATCATAACCAGTTTAACACTTCTTAATTAAAAAAATTTTTTTGTTTTATTAAATATTTTATCACTTTTGTAATTTTTTAAAGGGATCCGCAGATGCCGAGACAAGTTGTGTTCGTATTAAAGAAAATGTTTAAAAAAAAACATTTGGGCTAAATTTTTTTGATTTTTTGAACTAAATAATGAATGCATACCAAAAAAATTAAAGTTGTTGTTTTAGTCGAAGCTTGCCTTCTTTTGCTATTTTTATTGGTTCTTGGGATCTGTATAATGTTAGCCGCAATCTGCAGACTTGATAATTTATTTAATGCTTGTTAATTCATAATAGTTTTGGTATATGATGTCATTGCAATATCTTTTTAAGATAGCATTTTTTTGTTGTTGCTTTTTTAAAGATATAAGTGTTTTTTCTACTACAATCAGAAAATAAAATATTTTTATAATTTTTTACTAAATCACCAAAAAGTATTTGTGGTTTAGCACGAAATTATACAAACATATATACAGTATCGGACAAAACAAGTGCAACCAAATAATGCTAATTTAGTTTCTTTATATAAAAGTGCTGCATTTTTTCAATTTAGAGAAATAACTATGTAACTTTTTAGAGACAACGTTCTTCAAGTTTTATTTATCACAAAGTTCATTATTTGTACACAAAAATTAATAAATTAATCAAAAGTATTAAAAAAAAGTTAATTTTCTTCTGGACAAAACAAGTGCAACTCCACAAAATGTTGACCAAGCTGTATTTCGCTTTCAATATTTTGTGGTGAATCCTTTGTTATCAATCACAGCCTTGCATCTTTGAGGCATAGATTCAATCAGGTGATCATTGAAACTTTGTGGAATTGCTGCCCAGGCTTTTTGGATTTGTTCAAACAATTGATCCTTATTATGAACTCCTTCACGATTAATTCTGTGGTTGACGATCTCCCACAGGTTCTTGATAGGGTTGAGATCTGGAGATTGAGGCAGCCAATCCATCACCGATAGGTGGTTGTCTTGAAATCACTGCTTGACTACTTTTGCAGTGTGTTTCGGATCATTGTCTTGCTGAAAAACCCATTTTATTGGCATATTTCATTCAGCATGAGGTAACATAACATCTTTCAGGATATTTATATACATGAAACGGTCCATTATTCCATTGATTCGATGTATTGGACCTAGACCATTACCAAAAAAACACCCCAGACCATTACATTGCTTCCACCATGCTTCACGGTCTTATGGAAGTAACGTAAATTGAGGCGTTTTCCTGCCAGTCAACGTACACGGCAAATGCCATTGCTCCCAATGATGTTGAACTTCGATTCATCACTGAACAGGACAGTTCGCCATTACTTCACATTCCAGTCAATATGAGATGTAGCAAACAGGAGTCTTTTCTTCTGGTTCTTTAGTGAAATTAGCGGTTTCTTTGCAGGGCGTTGAGAAAACAATCCGGCTTTAACAGCATGTTGTCTAATTGTTTGGCCCAACACAGGCAGCTCTAATTGCTTTTGTATCTCGACTGATGATATCCAGGGATCTTTCTTGACAGATCTGATGATCATAGAATCCTCTCTAGAAGTGGTGGAACGCGGTCTTCCACCTTTGTTATCTGCTGCCAACTTCCCCAGAGAACGATATTTGGAACATATTCTTTATACGGTCCATTTTTTCATGCGATATTTATCACAAATACTTTTTTGTGACATTCCACTTACGTGATCGCCAATAATCGCCAATCCAAGACTGTCGGGAGCCATTTTTGCACTTGAAGTTATTAAAATAATAAAAATGAATAATCACGCTTCTCAAGGCCTACCGTGTTAAATTTACCTTGTGATGATACAATAATGCTCTGGAACACAACGTCTTGGTTGAATGTGGACTGTATTGATGTAATAAAACTCTTGTTGTATTTCACTTCTTGTATTGATGTTCTTTGATAAAATACTTTGATAAAACTCACTTTGATAAACTGTCTTGATAATACTGACTGATTGACTTCCATATACTGACTGAATTACATGTCAGTTTACATGTCTCTTATATAGTAAAATAAACCTGTGTGAACCTGTTCTGGAAGATTCTAGATGCTTTTTTTCTATGCTTCTGGAAACTTCTAGATGCGTCTGGATGCTTCTGAATGTTTCTGGATACTTTTGGATGCTTCCAGATGCTTCTTCTGGAATCTTCTGGAAGCTTCTGCATGCTTCTGGAAACTTCCAGAAACTTCTGGATACTTCCTTTAATTATTAAAAAACTTCTGTGACGTTGACATGGACCAGACTTAGGAAAATGAAACTATCCAAAAAAGTTGCACTTGTTTTGTCCACTGCAAAATGGCACTTGTCAACAAAATTCTGCCTGTGTGCTGTCACCTATATATATATATATATATATATATATATATATATATATATATATATATATATATATATATATATATATATATATATATATATATATATATATATATATATTAGGGCCCTGCGAAGCTTCGAAATTTCAAATCAAATTGAATCAAAAATAGGATTCGAAATACGATTCAAAAATTTTTAAAAATCTAATCCTTACTTATTTTGTTTTTGTTATGAATATTTTAGATATTTTGCGCTTTGACGCTATCAAAATAATGTTACTTATCCTTAAATACCTTTTTAATTAGTCATTAAAAAGGTTAATTAGGGCAAGAACCATTAATAAAAAGATTATACAATTATTTTATTTTATTTTGAAATATATATTATTAATTATAAAATGCTTAAATTTAGACTTCAAAATGTTGATTCGAAACGTGATTCAAATCGCGAATCAAGACCTGCTTTGATTCGAGATTCGATTTGAAATAAAAACTGGCGATTGGCAGGGCCCTAGTATATATGTGTATATATAGTTATATATCTATATATATATATATATATAATATATATATATATATATATATATATATATATATATATATATATATATATATACATATATATATATATTCGTATATATCTATCTATATATATATATATATATATATATATATATATATATATATATATATATATATATATATATATATATTTTTTTTTTTTTTTTTTTTTTTTTTTTTTTTTTTGATAAAAGATCTTACAATCAAGGTCATTTACAAATAGTTAAAAACTAATCTTAAGTAAATACCATGAAATAGAATTGATAATACAAATAATAATGGTAATAATAATGATGATAAATTAAAAGTTATAAGAATAATAAGAAAATTACATGATAATAAACCAATATTAATTTTAAAACAACAATTGAATATAATGCACAGACAGGAAAGTTACAAACAGTTATGTACTGACAAAATGTAACAACCTACCATGTAATGAAAACAATTATTGCAAAAAAATTAACAATGATTTAATAAATATAATAATCCTAATATCAATAATCGTAATAAAAATAATAAAAGTAAAATAAATACTTTATTTAAAAATAATAATAAATAAACAAAACAAAAATTATTCAATAATACTCACATATAAAGAGGTGTCACACACACAAACAGTTTTTATAATAAATGACAATATTAAAATAAAAAAGTAAATCATATCAAGCAAACACATATCAACACTCAAAAATGATAAAAGTTAAAATATATTCTTTTTTCTTTATTCAAAAACAGAGCAATTTTTATATTTTATTTTAATTCCTTTTTAATTCCTTTCCATTTTCGAATGTTTTTTTTCTTTTAACTTTGGTTTTTTGCTTGTTTCTTTTTTCTTTTGTTAATTTTGTTTGATTTTTTTTTTTAGTTTTTTCTTGCTTTTTTTCTATGCTTCTGGAAACTTCTAGATGCGTCTGGATGCTTCTGAATGTTTCTGGATACTTTTGGATGCTTCCAGATGCTTCTTCTGGAATCTTCTGGAAGCTTCTGCATGCTTCTGGAAACTTCCAGAAACTTCTGGATACTTCCTTTAATTATTAAAAAACTTCTGTGACGTTGACATGGACCAGACTTAGGAAAATGAAACTATCCAAAAAAGTTGCACTTGTTTTGTCCACTGCAAAATGGCACTTGTCAACAAAATTCTGCCTGTGTGCTGTCACCTGTCAGCTGATTGCTCATGTTATGGCATGCTATGACTCCAGACTCCTGAACTGTTTGCTGTGGTAGTATAGTTCGTTTTGTTTTTACAATTACAATTATTTAAATTTATTACAATTTTACTTGTTTTGTACATAATGTATATATATATATATATATATATATATATATATATATATATATATATATATATATATATATATATATATATATATATATATATATATATACATATATATATATATATATATATATATATATATATATATATATATATATATATATATATATATATATATATATATATATATATATATATATATATATATATATATATATATTCTTTACATAATATATATATATAATTCTCTACATAATCAAGAAAAAAAAAGAGCTATATTGTGTAATTATAAAAAAGTTAAAAAATTATCACAAAGTTATCACAAAGTTAAAAAATCTTGAATAATCCATCATAAAAAAAACTTTTAATTTAGTTAAATAATACCAAAGTATTTTGAAGAAAATTTTTTAATTTTATTCATTAAATGAGGTTTGCTTTGGACTTGATGTTTTAATTACTACTTACGAAAACAATAGTTTTAAGCACTTTGCATTTCTTATTGTTTAATGATGCATGTTAAAAACTTTGTTGTTATCGGATTTTAATAAATTGTCAATGTTATGTTATTCAAACGTTATTCAAAAAAATGTGCGGTTGCTACAAAACAATTTTTGTTTGGCTGGTAGCGAACAATTTAATGTGATTCTTTGTTTTTATATTTATATCATAACTATTTCTTGTATATTTTAGTACAAATATTTGTTTTAACTTTAATTTAGTTTGATTTGAACGGTTATTAGTAAAATAAGTCGTTTTATATTTATTTTCTACTTAGTTCAGTTTGTATGTTTTATTCAAGTCACTCGATTTTTTTTCAGTTTATACTTTAAATTAATTTATACGCTTTTTTTAAAATTAATCTTTTAGTATTTAGTTTATATTTAGTTTAAACCAGTACAATTTACTGTAAATATTTGTTTTTTGTTAAATTTTTATTTTTATAAATGTTATAAATTTAATTTTTAATTGCATCATAAACTTTTTTTGGGATTTAGTAAAAAGTTATACAATTAACATGACTTGGTGATTTTGACAAAAAATAATGCAACATCTTGAAAGAAAAAATTTACACGTTGACATCATATACCGAAACTATTATGAATTAACACGCATTGAATAAATTATCAAGTCTGCAGATTGTGGCTAATATTATTAGAACCAAAGAACATTTTTTTAAATATGAACACAACTTGTCTCAGCAGTTTGAGATCCCTTTAAGTCCAACAGTTTTATTAACTATATTTTTAATAATAAATGATATTGTGTAATAAAAGTTGTTATTTAACAACTTTTGTTACACAATTACTTTAAACTTTTTTTTTAATCACTTTTTTTTTTCAAGGACACTGTGCGTGTATATATATATATATATATATATATATATATATATATATATATATATATATATATATATATATATATATATATATATATATATATATATATATATATATATATATATATATATATATATATATATAAATATAAATATAAATATAAATATAAATATAAATATATATATATATATATATATATATATATATATATATATATATATATATATATATATATATATATATATATATTAGGGCCCTGCGAAGCTTCGAAATTTCAAATCAAATTGAATCAAAAATAGGATTCGAAATACGATTCAAAAATTTTTAAAAATCTAATCCTTACTTATTTTGTTTTTGTTATGAATATTTTAGATATTTTGCGCTTTGACGCTATCAAAATAATGTTACTTATCCTTAAATACCTTTTTAATTAGTCATTAAAAAGGTTAATTAGGGCAAGAACCATTAATAAAAAGATTATACAATTATTTTATTTTATTTTGAAATATATATTATTAATTATAAAATGCTTAAATTTAGACTTCAAAATGTTGATTCGAAACGTGATTCAAATCGCGAATCAAGACCTGCTTTGATTCGAGATTCGATTTGAAATAAAAACTGGCGATTGGCAGGGCCCTAGTATATATGTGTATATATAGTTATATATCTATATATATATATATATATATATATATATATATATATATATATATATATATATATATATATATATATATATATATACATATATATATATATTCGTATATATCTATCTATATATATATATATATATATATATATATATATATATATATATATATATATATATATATATATATATTTTTTTTTTTTTTTTTTTTTTTTTTTTTTTTTTTTGATAAAAGATCTTACAATCAAGGTCATTTACAAATAGTTAAAAACTAATCTTAAGTAAATACCATGAAATAGAATTGATAATACAAATAATAATGGTAATAATAATGATGATAAATTAAAAGTTATAAGAATAATAAGAAAATTACATGATAATAAACCAATATTAATTTTAAAACAACAATTGAATATAATGCACAGACAGGAAAGTTACAAACAGTTATGTACTGACAAAATGTAACAACCTACCATGTAATGAAAACAATTATTGCAAAAAAATTAACAATGATTTAATAAATATAATAATCCTAATATCAATAATCGTAATAAAAATAATAAAAGTAAAATAAATACTTTATTTAAAAATAATAATAAATAAACAAAACAAAAATTATTCAATAATACTCACATATAAAGAGGTGTCACACACACAAACAGTTTTTATAATAAATGACAATATTAAAATAAAAAAGTAAATCATATCAAGCAAACACATATCAACACTCAAAAATGATAAAAGTTAAAATATATTCTTTTTTCTTTATTCAAAAACAGAGCAATTTTTATATTTTATTTTAATTCCTTTTTAATTCCTTTCCATTTTCGAATGTTTTTTTTCTTTTAACTTTGGTTTTTTGCTTGTTTCTTTTTTCTTTTGTTAATTTTGTTTGATTTTTTTTTTTAGTTTTTTCTTGCTTTTTTTCATTCTCCATATTTTTATTTTATTTATTTTTCTTGTTTTATTCTTTTTCTTTATCATTCTTTTTTTTTTTTTTAAATTTATTTATAAAATTTGTTATAAAAAAGTGTCCGCCATTATGGAAGTCTCTGCATATATCTGATTTACTTGTTATTATTGAGGTAATAAAAGCAAAACCGCATACACACTTCCCCTTTAAAATAATAGAAGCGAAAGTGCACCTCAAAAATTAACTAAATATAAAATTATTCTATTTGAAAACAAGTGAGAGCTATTTTTAAGCATTTTGTTATATAACTAAGTTTTAACATTCATCACTTAATTTATGTTGTTTTAAAAGACTTTAACAAATATTTATTTGTTTTAAACGAATTTAACAACTTTTAAGCAATAAATTTTGTATTTAAATAATTAAATAAATATTTAATTATTTAAATAAAAAATTTATATTAACTTAAATATATATATATATATATATATATATATATATATATATATAATATATATATATATATATATATATATATATATATATATATATACATATATATATACATATATATATGTATATATATATATATATATATTTATATATATATATATATATATATATATATATATATATATATATATATATATATATATATATATATATATATATATATATATATATATATATATATATATATATATATATATATATATACTTAAAAAGTTGCTAAATAAAAAGTTTATTAGAACAAGGAAATTTCAAGGCAAAACTGGTCCTTTTATTGGTTTTATTGGTTGAGATATTCAAGACTTTAGGAGATATGGATGCCAAAATGTTAAAGCAAATAAGAATATATACATATATTTTTATTGGTGCATATTTACTGTTTAAGCAGGCAACACCTATATATGAGTATAATACATTATTTATATATTTAGTTTATACACTTGGTAATTGGGGAACTTGGAGCTCTTGCTCTCAATCATGTCGAGCAACTCAAACTAATCCAATGCGTGTTCGAGCTCGTAATTGTACAAGTAACTCATCTACATTAAATCAATGCACTTCTGATATTATGATTAAATATGAACCTTGTAATACTGATGCATGTTTAACAGGTTTTATGAAATTTTTTTAATCTGCATTTTTTGGAATTTTATTATTAGATTTTACCATTATGTGATTATTTATTATATATATATATATATATATATATATATATATATATATATATATATATATATATATATATATATAATCTTTAAATATCATTTTCTTGTTATTCGATAATAATAAAATATGTAAAATTCAATAAAAATGGCTGCGTATAAACTTTTTAAAAAATATATATTTGTTTTTATTTTAGTTTTTTTTTTTTTTTTTTTTTTTTTTTTTTTTTTTTTTTTTTTTTTTTTTTTTCAAAAAAAAAAATAATAATAATAATAAAATAAAAACAAATATATATTTTTTAAAAAGTTTATACGCAGCCGTTTTTATTGAATTTTACATATATATATATATATATATATATATATATATATATATATATATATATATATATATGTATATATATATATATGTATATATATATATATACATATATATATATATATATATATATATATATATATATATATATATATATATATATATATATATATATATATATATATAATATATTCAATATTAATATAAAATATTTAAACTGCTATTTTTGTGTTTTATATAAGTATTGTTAAGTATCATTTGTATTTTTCTTTTTGTTTATTTGTTTTATTGTTATTATTAAATAATAAGTTATAACGGGTGGTTACTAAAAATCCGGACAAACTTTAACTGAATTTTAAATGCCACAAGCTAAATCTTTTTTATTCATGTTTACATCCATTTTATAGCTTATTTAATTCTCTATAAGTTAATTTTTTTTTTTTTAGATAATTAATAATAATTAAAAAAAAAATGATGACCAAGCAAGAAGAGGTAAGAAAACGGATTTACGAGTTCTATTTGAATAATAAATTGCAAGGTAAAAAGTTCACAGTAGCTCACTTCAATGCTGAAAAAATCCCAAGAAGCACTATCTATGATATAATCAAACGTGTTGAGAATGATTCTGGGCACAAAAGAGTGCAAGGAAGTGATCGTGTGGCCAAAATCATGACCCCTAAGAGAATCAAGCGCCTGAAAGCCATATTTGATCACAGTGACCGAGTTTCGATGACCGAGTTTCGCGTTTTTAAAGGAAAATCGGTCATCCTTGACGGTGAGTCTTACTTCACGCTGTCACACTCAACAATTAATGGAAACAGCACCTACTACTCTAGCAACAGAGACAAGACTCCACCAAGTGTTAAATATCGCAAAAAGCGCAAGTTCGAACCCAAGGTGCTTGTCTGGCTGGCCGCTTCTGACAAAGGTGTTTCAAAACCATTTTTTATACCCAGCGGCCTTGCAGTCAATAAAGCCATCTATGAAATGAATTGTATTAGGAAAAGATTAGTGCCGTTCATCAACGCTTATCATGCCGATAATAATTACATATTTTGGCCGGACCTGGCTTCATCGCATTATGCCAAAACCGTGACCAGCTGCTACGAGACTCATAACATCAATTTTATCAAAAAAGTTGACAATCCGCCAGCCGTACCGGAGTGACGCCCAATCGAAGACTTTTGGGCTATTTTGAAAGGTAAAGTGTATGAGAGTAACTGGCAAGCAAAAGACGTGAAACAACTACGAACCAGAATAAAGCTTTGCCTGAAAAAAATTGACCTTAACCTTGTATTTTCACTTTTTGGGTCAACTCGTGTTAGAGTTGGCCGATTCCGAAGAAACAGACTGGTTGAAGACAAACTTAATTAAAAATAAATAACTAAAAACTCTTTTTAATGATAGTTTTATTTAATCTCTACCATAAAAACTTTGGGAGTAATTGCACTTGAAAGTTTGTCCGGATTTTTAGTAACCACTCGTTAAAATCTTCAAAAAGTTTTTCTTCAAAGTTTATTTTTAAAGATAATTTTTAACATGGTTAATTGGACCAACTGAAGTATCTTTGAAAAAACTTGATGAAATTCTCCTTAAAACAATTCGTTTTTAGAACATTTAACTAGTGTTGAACAGCTTTGAAACACATTAAAAAACAAATTTAAAGCTTTATAAAAAGCTGTAGTTGACCTTTTTATGATTATTAACATTTTCTTTTACAAGACTTCTGTTTTTGTTTTTTATTAACGTTATTGTTATAAATAATTTTATTATAAGAATTGTGATTTTGAATGATTTTTAAACTGATAATAAAGAAAAAGGAACCTCTAAAGTCTCATGTCATCTCATCATGAATCTCATATCATTTTTGAGTTTCACTGATTTAAGTTATTCAATAATGACAAAAAAGTACTAGTTATAATTATTCAACAATTAAGTTGATAACTTTTTATTACAGTTTGAATAAACTCGACATTGTATTATGCTGTTAAGGTATTTTTTTGTAGTATATCTTTCAAGATCCAATCATATTGTAAGCTTAACTTTATAAAGTTAAAGGAAAAGCACTTTGTCATTAAATAATAATTGTAAATTAATGTCTTTTTAAATGTCAATCAATAGTTTTTTTATTTGTTAAGTTGCATTAAATTGTTAATTCGAGGAGAGAAGACAAGAAGACTACTTAATTGTGGTTACAAACCTCTCTCAACTCTATTACTCCAAAACACAAACCTTGATGAACAAGGCTGCTGTGTGGAGTAACAAATTGAGCGTGGTACAACCAGGGGCGTGGTGGGAATCAAACTCAGAACCTCTTGCTTATGAAGCGAGCGCTCTACCACTACACCACTACACTTAGTTGCTTGTATTAGTTAGGTGCTTATTGAAGTTGCTTATTGAAATGCGTTAAAGAAAAAAATTAAGTATCTATAGTTGTTCTAGCTGAATGTGATTTTTCATTTCAATAATTAATATTCATACCTTTAACTGTAATAGATTCTTTTTTCCTAATGTTATATAAGTTTAATATGTTATTGATGAATGAAAAATTAATGTTTTTTTTTATATAAAAGGATTTTTAAGAAGAATAGTAAACAATATTAAATTAAAAATATTTAAAACTTTTAAGAATAATTTAAAAAAAAAATGCATGCATTCAAAGTTTCGGGATTCTGTCTTTCCTGTGACAATTTTTATTTATCTAACAAGCTACACCTCTCTCTCTCTCTCGCACACACAGACACACACACACACACACACACACACACACACACACACAAACCTTTTAAAAAACATAATGACAATCTCTAATGTATTCATACATTTTCTTATCATCACAATGTGAAAAAGCAAATCAGTATTTAATCAATCTAAAAACAAATAAGAGCAAACATTAAAAGAAAGATATATAATGACTTGAAATGCAATAGTCAGATTAAGACCAAATGCCCCGTGAATGGAAAAAGTAGATACACAAACATTATATACACAAACATATGTGCGTCTTGCATATGTGAAAAAAAAAATTCTCATTAAAAAATTGAAAAACTTGCTATAAACCTAACTAACCACACACACACACACACACTAACCAACCTAACTAACCACTAACAATTACTGTTTTATAAAAACATCTCTGAGCTAACTAATAAGTTATTCACATATATAGCTATTTTAATATACTTTATATTATAGTTTATGTTTTTATATTTTTTTTTTTAAATAAATAAGGCACATTATACAAATGCATTTTTTAAATTTTTTGAACAATATTATTAACAAATTTAGTTACCAAATCATTAAATGAAATGTAACTATTTCATAGCTATTTACAAAAACTAAAAACAATTTATTAATAAAATTTTTATTGTATAAGTTAGGGCTTTTTTAAGTAACTTAATTACTTATTTAGTTGTTTAAATAACTTTTTAAACAAAAATTGATTAAAAAGTTCTTAAGTTTTTAGAAAATTTATGCTACTTAAGATCAAGTAATTTTTTGTCAAATTAGAGAGGTAGAAAATGTTATAAAAGTTTTGTAAAAGCAGTCTGATTATCCATTTGTATACGTCTACCCTAAATGTAAAATTTTTTAGTTTACTTTTGATGATTTTCTTTGTTTTTTTTGGATTTTTATAAACATGTTGCTCACTGTCTTGAAAAAACTGTTCTTTTTTTTTTTATTTTCAATTTATTTCTATTAGTTTTGTCTTAAGTATCATTTTTATTTATCTAGTTTTGTTTTATATATGTTTCTTATAAAAAAAATAAAAAATGGAATGTGAATGGGTGGAGCATTTAATGGAAAAAGGTGGTTGGTTAAATGTGTGTGGAAAATAAAAATGGAATAGGTGGAAAAATTAAAATAAAAAAGAGATTCTAAAACAAAAAAGCACAAAATAAAGTTACAGTAAATAGGGTATTAAATAAATTTAATGTGAATGTTACCATATAAAATGCTATAAAATTGAAGTGTAACAGTTGTAGTAATGCTCCATTTATAGTAAAGTTGTAGTAATGCTCCATTTATAGTAATGTTGTAGTAATGCTCCATTTATAGTAATGTTGTAGTAATGCTCCATTTATAGTAATGTTGTAGTAATGCTCCATTTAAAGTAATGTTGTAGTAATGCTCTATTTATAGTAATGTTGTAGTAATGCTCCATTTAAAGTAATGTTGTAGTAATGCTCTGGATGAAACAAAATGCAGTTTTAAAAAAATCTGAAGAGTTAAAAGACTCAAAGAGTTAAAAGAGATTATGTAGAAACATCAACCTAGATCAAACTTAAATTGAAAGATTTGAAACAATTAAGATTAAGTGCAATGAAAAAAAAATTCAGATGATTTTTACTACGGTATTAGAAATAATAAAGTAGCTAAACTCAAAAATTAGAAATTATCAGTTCAGTTAACAACTGGTATCCAAAATTATGAACCCATAACATCCTTGTCAAACTATAAATTTGTTCCATATGATTAAATTTAAAAATCATAAAACATTAGCAAAAAATAAAATTTTACAAATAAAAAATTTGAACAAGAAGTTTCACACCCAAAGCAACTTTAATGAAGTATACAAGTTTTTACACAAATGCTACTTTAAATAAGTTTTAATGAATTTGATCCAATG